TTTTCTTGCCTAAGTGCACTGGCTAGAACAGAGATTGTTAGAATAGACGTTCTTGTCTTGCTACTGGTATAAGGGTAAAGCACTTAGTCTTCACAGTGAAGTATGTATGATGTTAGCTGCAGGTTATACATAGAACCTCTTTATGAGGTTAAAGAACCTTCCTTCTTTCCTACTTTGTTGAGGGATTTGGTCCACAATTCATGTTAGATTTTTTAACTCTGCAGAGAGAGTGTTGAATCCTCTCTCCTGCTCTAAGCCTGTCCTGTAAATCTGCGTCTCCCCTGATCCTTAGGGTCTCTTTAGTTTCCTGTAAGAAACTGCTGGTGCATCATGCCAAGACAGATGTCAGACTTTGTCTAATGCATTTTCTGCACTACTGAGGTGATCATATGGTTTTTCTTGATTAGTCTAATATGGCAAACTACATGGATTGATTTTCAGATATTAAACCAACCCTGCATTCTTGGGCTAAATCCCACTTTGGTCATATTGTATCATCCTTTCTATATATTGCTGGATTAGATTTGCTAAAACTATGTTTAAAATTTTAGCATGTATATTCGTGAAGGATCTTGGTCTTTCCATTTCTCTCTCTGCAATGTCTTTGTCTGGTTTTTGTATCAGGATAATTCAGGCCTTGAGAAACAAGTTGGGAAGTGCTCCCTAGTCTCCAACTTTCTGGAGGAGTGTGGGGGGAACTGGTAGCAGTGCTTCCTTAAGCACTTGGTAGAGCTCACCGGGGAAGCCACTGTGCCTGGTACGGGCACTATTCCCTCCCAGCCCTGTGAACATCAAGCACTGCTTCTCTCCAAATCCTTTTTTAACTTTTTTGATGTTTACTTATTTAAACATTAAAAGAAAGAGACAGGGACAGAGACAGAGAGAGGGAACAGAGAGAGGGGGAGATAGAGAGCCCCAAGCAGGCCCCATGCTGTTGGCACAGAGCCTAATGCGGACCTTGAATTCACAAACCGTGAGATCACGACCGGAGCTGAAACTAAACCAAGAGTCCGCCACTTAACTGACTGAGCCCCCCAGGCGCCTCTCTCTCCATCCTTCCTCCCGCATCTCTGCCTAGCCTCGGCCACTGCCTGGGTATCTCAGCTCTCAGCCAACTCCACAGCCCTCCAGCTCTCTGCGCACCCCCACTGCTGCTCTGACCTGTAAACGCTCTTGTCCCCGTGAGCTCCTGTCCCCCATCCCATCAGCTAAGCCAATCTGTTCCGTTCTGCCCGGGGTTCCCCTGTGCCAGGGCCTGAAAACTTGCTCACGGGCAGCGAGCTGAGGCAACTGTGCTGCTCATTCCCTCCCTGCCTGAGGTCTAATGACGGCTGTCATCCCTGACTCCTGGCACAGAACTCCCAAAACCCTTGGAATTTCCTGACTGATCAGGGTGACACAAGTGCTTTGTTCTAATGGGGCAACTCTTGGCAGGTTCCTAAAGAGCTTCAGGATGGGAGCTGGCTGCCAGGAAGACCAAGCCTCGATTAGAAGCCTGGAACTCTCAGCCTCGTCCCCCAACTCTGGGGAGGGCGGAGGGACTAGACAGGGAGTAGTCACCGACGGCCAGTTGACCATCAATCACACCTGTGTAATGAAAGCTCCATGAAAACCCTCACATGACGGCATGTGGAGATCCACGTCAAGGTGCTGGGAGAGCGGAGCACCCAGAAAGGGCGTGGAAATGCCGTGCCCACCCACCGCCCCCCACACCCTGCCCTATGCACCTCTCCCATTTGGCTGTTCCTGAGCTGTATCCTTTACCCTAGGCCAGCAAATGTAAGTAAAGTGTTTTCCTGAGTTCTGTGAGCCATTGTAGCAAATGACTGAACTTGAGGAAGGGGCCACAGGAATCCCTGCTTTCTAGCCGGTCAGCCAGAAGTATAGGTGGCCCAGGCTTGAGTCTGGCATCTGACATGGGGGCAGCCTTGTGGCATGGAAGCCTGTAACTGTGAGATGGGGCCCTAACTCCAGGTAAACAGCGTCAGAACTGAGCTGACCAACATCTCTGGTGTCCAGAGAACTGGAGAGGAGGGACTGCAGAAGACAACACATATTTGGTGTCAGAAGGGAAAGCCTTCACCGCCTGTCTCTCAAGGCATCACTGTCCTTCGCTGACTAAAGTCCAGTGTTTCAGATGGTCTGTCCATTTTTTAACTGTCTCAGATAGGTAAGTAATAAATTGGTCCCCATTACTCTATCTTGGTCAAAAGTGGAAATCCTCAAATGCAAGTCGCCTTAACCATCACCCCCCCCCCCCACCGGCTTACTGTACCCACTTCCATCCAGGGAGGCTTCTCCTGGAATCACGATTCTGCATCTGCATGACTCATGAGACCCAAGGCAAAAGCAAAGGCTGTGTGTCTCTGTCACTGGTCCCTCACACAGAGCCCTGGCCCCCAGGAGACGATGGCGAGCAGTGCTGCGTGACCTCATGCACGTACTCAAGTGCTGGCTCACGACCCGAGGTGCCCTCTTACAGCACGCAGGTCCCTCGTGGCACGCAGAGTCCAGACACAAGGCTTCACGCCAGCGTGCCAGAGTCTGGACTCTCACCAGCCAGCAGGACGGGGGAATTTGTTTCTCCCACTGGTGACAGGAAAGAGAGGGCCCGAACCAGAGCCCAGAATAGGAAGTGTTTTCGATAAGCTGGATGCAAATCCATGGGAAGCTGTAATCAGAATAACTCGCAGACTCAATCACTCTTCTGTCTCATAATTATCTTAGAAGCTAAATGTTTTTCCAGTTGGTGAAAGGGGACTTTCCTGGGCATTGCTTCACAAGACAGACAATGCTGTCGGGTCTTGTAAGTATTTGCTTAATTTGAATACTTTCTTTCCATCATTCTGTGCTTTAAAATCTCTAAAATAACAACAGCGCTTGAGAAAAAGCTTTTTTGTTTGTTTTTTTAACAAAGGGTAGGGAAAACAAACTACAGTTCTATCCTGATGACCCAGCCATAACTGCATCTTGATGCACAGATATGGTGCCTGAAGAATAAATTAATTCCTAGATATAGTGTACAGGACTTTCCTGAGTTAGGTCATAACAGCTTTAAAGGTCAAACAAAGGCAAAAACACTTTCATTCTTAGTCCTGAGGCACCATGTGGCTCCCTGCAGCGAGCTACGAAACTTCCCCATTAGCGTTAGAGCCCACATTTAGGACTTACGTGAGAAACTGAGGGCAAGCAGAAATGAACTGTCACGTAGTCAAAAAACGAAGAAAAACATTCTTATGCCCTTTCCTGGAGCACACCACGGGGTGGGTGGTTAGAAGCCTATTGTGTTTTTCAAGAGCAAGGACAGCCAGCTTGGCAGGTGTAAGTCTCCTTTTCCATAAGGGAGGCCCTTGCCAGAGCCCTCCATGCACCCCAGCGCAGGCGATCGGAGCAGACATGTTTTCACCAGGACAGCTCTGCGGCACAGCACTCACGGTGTGCTTTCCCGCTGCCAGTCCTTCTGCACGTCCACTCTGTCCCCAGAACGAAGTACAAAAGAAACCCCGTCACCGTGGCGTGCATACACTAGATTCTTCCTGATCAGTCAGCCTGCACACCAGAAGAGCACGGACGGTCCCCGCACGTCCCCCCTGCCCGTCTGGGGACTCCCGAAGAATGTCAGGGGTAGGTCAACGAAGTTTGGATACATGGGATCAGACAAAGTTAAACAGGCTTCCCTGTAGTTGGCCCCCTGCAAGCCCACCGCTTGTCTGCGCACCCCGGCGGGCTCCCGGGGTCTCACGCGGGACACCGCGAGGGGCCGGTCCCTCCAAACCTGCCTCTTCCCCAGCGCGCACCCTCTCAGGGCATCTGCCTCTGTCCCGCCCTTCCTGCCCCCACCCACCCTTCACCTCTGTCGATCTGGCCTCTTCCGCCGTGCCATGGGCGCCAGTCTCTAAATGCGGCCCCTTGTCTCGTGTGCCTTCACTCGGGACCCTGGCACACCGTGCACACCCTCCCTCACCCCTCCTGGCTGGCTGGCTTCCCTCTATGTGCTTTCCGCTCTTCCCTTGAAAATTAAAAACATGGACAGAAAGACAAAAGCAAAGAATATAAACAGATACCTGTATTCCCGTTCATCAGAAGAGATGATCGTTACGAGGCCACACTAAGAATGCCACGTTTGCTCCGAGGCTTTTTTTTTCTTTAATAAAAGGCCAAAATAGGATAAAGACCAAAGTGTCCTTTGATGTCTCCCCGAAGGCAAGCCCCTCACAAGTGTGTCACATAGCCTTCTGGCGCACTCTTACGCCTTTACATGCAGATGGGTGTGTTCACAAACAACACAAATCCCTGAGTCTTACAGAAAGCTTAACACGGTGACATCATGCAGTGAGTAAAATCTATCTGCTTTTTCTCTGATGCAACAAGGTCTCCCCACACTGACACTCAACTCAACTCAATGAGAGCCACTGATGCAGATCCTGCTGACCCGCCAGCGTCCGTTCCATGGCTTCCTCCCACCACGGCTCCCTCCCGCCACTGAAACCTCAGCCAGTGGGGTCTCTGAGTGCTTTGCCTGCATTCCCTCCCCTCCCGGCAGCCCGCTGGGGATGTGCGCAAGGGCTTGTGGCTGGCACAGGGTGGGTGCCACTCCCCCGGGTCTGCCGAGTCCAAGGCTGCGCTCTCCCCCACTGTGCTGGGCTGCCCTCTCACCAGCAACGGCCAAGCGGGCACCTTCCCTGGGCCAGGAACTCTCTGTGCATCTTGTCTCTTAATCCTCTGAACCCCGCCCCCACCATGGTGTCAAGGATGATTCATTATCCTCATTTTAGAAATGAAGAAACTCAGGCTGGAGTTGATGCTGGTGTGAACCACAGCAAGATAGCGCCAAGTCCCCATCGACCGGGCTACACGTCAGATTTGCTTACAAAAAAAAGTCAAAGCTGAGATGAGAAACGGGCTGGAGTGAGACGGAGAGAGGCCTGAAGGCCCAGCTGAGGGGCGCTGCCTGGGGGTGGGGTGGGGCCCCACACCCGGGCCCAGGGGACGGTACTCACGGTCATGGACCCTGTAGCAGTGCTTCTGCAGGCGCCGCACACCCCACTCCTCCAGCACCCCGTGAGTCATCAGCAGCTGGAGGAAGCGTCGGTGGACATCGGTCATGGCGCCCGCTCTCCTCGCGCTGCCCTGCGCGCACGGAGGCGCTAAGAAAAGAAGCAAAGGACACCGTGTCACCTCTGGGCACTCTGAAAGCCAGGTTCTGGGGGTGTGGACTTACCAACGTTCACAACTATCCCTTTGTTACAGCTTTTGGACCCCAGTTCATCCCGCCCAATGGCACAGAAGCGGAAAGGACGGGAGTCAGGGCCAAGCACACTGGCCCTGGGTGGCCGGCAGGGAGTGGGGGTCTGAGGCCAGCCACCTGCCCCACCCCTGGGCTGTGTGAAAGGGGGCTTGTTTTGGTCTCTGATCTCTCAAGTGAGCCCAATGCTGGGAACGTCCTCGGGAGAATTACTCAGTTTGATGGTTAACACGTATAAAAGCTTGGCAACAGCTGAGCACCACCTACATGGTGGCCAGCTTTACTACTGGACACTGAGGGCTCCAAAATGTGGTCCAGCCACTCAGGAGACCTGCGGCCTTGGACACAGGGTGCCGAGGCCCCGTTTTCTCCGGCCACGATGACAACAGTGGGCACCACCTGAAGAACTCCTAGCGGACGCCTAGCCCATGATTTCCTCCCCGTCTCCCAAGCCACTGATGAAACTACTGTCGCTGTGGGGTGTTTTGCAATCTGTGGGGTGTTTTTGCAATCTCTCACTCTCTACTGAAACATCATCTTTCCACAAACCAGAGATCAGAGCTGATAAAAGGATCACACGAGTCCTGATCAAAAATGCTGCTCGTGCCACGGAGCGGTGGCACGGTGCGGAGGCAAAGGGCGTGGGTTTAGAAGCAGGCTCATGGTGTGGAGACGGGGGTCTGCCCAACCTGCTCCACCTTAAGAGTCATCTAACTGGGGCGTGAAAGGCACAGATGCCTGGGCCCCTTTGCTGGAGGTCTGGCTGCAGAGGGGGCTGGGAATTCTGAGATTTTAACATACACTTCAGGTGGGTGCCATGACCCGCACAAGAAATTGGCTGTTACTTTAGGCAAATACAGTGCGAAAACACTTCTAGCTAACAAGCTTCATCTCCCTAAGCCTCAGTCTTTTCCTCCACAAGATGGGTATAATAAAAAAGCCTCCTGAAGGCAGAAGATGAGGTTTAAAAAAAATTTTTTTTAATGTTTTATTTAGTTTTGAAAGAAAGAAAGGTACAGCATGAGCAGGGGAGGGTCAGAGAGAGAGGGGGGTCACAGAATCTGAAGACAGGCTCCAGGCTCTGAGCTAGCTGCCAGCACAGAGTGCAACAGGAGCCTCGAACCCGCAAACTGTGAGATCATGACCTGAGCTGAAGTCAGATGCTTAACTGAGTGAGCTACCCAGGCGTCCCTGAGAAGATGAGGTTTAAATGAGATAGGACTAGAAGACACACAAAAAGGCTAGCTGCCGCTCGCTCGTCTTTTCAAGCAGCACATGAGCTGGACCTCAGAGGAGGGGAGACCCACCAGCTTGGGGCCAGTTTCTCTGACTGCCTGCAACTTCACCAGTAACACAGCCTCAGCAGATCCTGAACTGGACTCATCTTCTCCGTCCCCCTCCCACCCCTTTTCTTCCCCTGAGTCCGCTTTGCAAAATCTTCCAGTTTGGGGGGATCCAGTCCATGCAGTCACACAAACACCAGGGCCTGAGTGTCCAATTCTCATCCACTCCCCCCACCACAACCCCACCAGCCTCAGATCCAGCCAGTCAGTTTATTTCCTAGCGCTGGGATCAGCAAAATTAAATCTGACTGCAAATTAAATCCAAAAAAAGTTACAAGAAAGTTAAATAATAAAGAGCAGAATTGAATAAAATGAGTATATATCAGAGATCAACAAAACCAAAATTAGTCTTTGAATAAAAATGTAATGGGGCGCCTGGGTGGCTCCATCAGTTAAGGATCTGACTTCCATTCAGGTCACAATCTCACAGTTCATGGGTTCGAGCCCTGCATCAGGCTCTGTGCTGACAGCTCGGAACCTGGAGCTTGCTTCGGATTCTGTGTCTCCCTCTCTTCCTGCCCCTCCCCACCTCGTGCTTGATCTCTCTCTCTCTCAAAAAATGATCATTTAAAATTTTAAGAAAAAAACATAATAAAAGCGACAAACCTCTGACAAGATTTTCCAAGTGGTAGAAGACTAACAAACAATACTTGGAATGAAAGGGGGGAACTAATTGCAGACACACAAACAACTTAAATAATCTAAAGTTTTAAATAGGCAAAGTTATAGGAAATCCGTTCAAAACCAACTGAAGAATTATCTGAAAACCTAACAGGTGTTATAACCATTGAAGATACTCTGTGGGAAATCTATCCTCCCACAAAGAAAAGTTCAGATCCGGATAGATTTATCAAGAAGTCCTACCAAGCATTCTAGAAGCAAGTGATTTCAAATGTCACAAAACTATCCCAGGGCCCCAAAAAAGAGCAAACTCTGCCCAAATCATCTGATAAGGCTGACATACGTTGGGCATTAACATCTAACAGAGACTTCAAAGAAAGGAAAATGTATCTTTCAGGAACGTAGCTGCAATGGCCGTAAGCAAAATGTTAATCAATCTAAACCAGCAACATAAAAAGGATAATATATGGTGACCAAGATGGGTTTATCTGGGTAGCAGTTTAACATCTGAAAATCAATCAAATGTTATATGTCAATAATGTCCCAATAAAGCTGGGGGAGAAAAAAAATCAATGAGTCTGAGTCGGCATATTACCAGCATACAGAAGAAAAAGCCTACTAGCATCTTAATAGATTCAGAAAATATGATTGATAAAATTCAACAGTCCCTCGTACTAAAAACTCTTTAACAAACTTGGAATTGAAGGAAACTTCCTTTATCTACTAACGCTATCGACAAAAACCCACAGGGAGCATCATGCTTAGGGATGAATTGTTGAAAGCAATCATTTTCAAATCCCACTGAAGCCCCTGCAACAGAATCCATGCGATTCCAATCAAAATCCCCATCGGCTACGTGTGTCTGTGAGTGATTTGACGAGATAATTCCCAAGTTTACAGGGAAGACATAGAGGCAAAACAGCAAACCATCGGGGAGGAGCTCAAGGCAGGAGGACTTGTCATACCTGTCACCAGTTCATGAATCTCGAGTAATGACTACTGTATGCCAATGGTACAGACATGGACCAGAGAAGACCAGGGGGCCAGACCTCAGACACAGACACGCACACAGACACGGGTACTCAACACGCTGGAAAAAGGGAAGCCCAGATCAAAGTAAGCTTTTCAATAGAAGGTACCAGAACAACAGATTACCCGTATGTGAAAATCCAGAGAGCCTGACCCTCATGTCAGACTAGGCACAAAAATCGTTTTGAGGATTAAGGTCGTGGGAAAGGAAACACTATAGAACTTTTGAACAACAATATAGGGGCACATCTTTCTTTTTTTTTTAAGATGTTTTTTAATGTTTGTGTATTTATTTTGAGAGCGAGCAAGCAGAGGAAAGGCAGAGGGAGAGGAGAGAGAATCGCAAGCTGGCTCGGCAGGATCGACACGGGGCTCGATCCCGGGAACCGTGAGATCATGACCTGAGCCGAAATCAAAAGTTGCACGCTCAACTGACTGAGCTACTCGGGTGCCCCAGAGAACATCGTTTAGGAGCCAAAGGCAGGGAAGAACTTTTTTAAAAGATACAAAAAGTCTAAACCATAAAGGAATATACCGATAAATTCTACTTCGTTAAAATTTTAAGAACCTCTGTTCACCAAAAATAGTAGAGAGTGGGAGAGAGAGACAGAGAGAAGAAAAGCTACAAACTGGGAAGTATCTGAGACATGGTGAAACCACAAAAGATTCATACTCAGAACACACAGAGAATTCCTACAAAACCATAAGGGGAAGACAAGCAAAAAATAAGCAGCAGAAATGTTCAAAAGAGGATGCACAAAACATTAACAAATATATTAAAAGATGCTTCATCTCAATGTCATCCAGCAAATGAGTATTCAAACCACGGTGATTAATGTGTTATTTAGGCAATAATTCTTCAGAATGGTTGAGGCTAGTGGAGGGTAAACTCTTATAAACCACTTCAGACGATGCGATATTACTCGCAAATCTGGGTATCTCCAGAAATCCACTATTAGGTATATAACTTACAGAAATGTTCCACATTTGCCCCAGGAAATATGTTTATAAAAGCGCCCCACGGCAGCAAAACTCTGGCAACCGCATAAAAGGCGATCACTTAAAGCATGCCTCCGCTTATAATGAAACCTCGGAATTCAAAACAGCAACGAAGCAATGAAGGTAAAGTAGAGCTACTCACATCAACATGGACACGTCTCGTATATGTGACATTACATGCAAAAACAAAGTCCCACAAATACAGATGAGGGTCCTCTACAAAATTCAAAACCAGGCAAACCATACGTGGCAGGCATTACAGAAGCATACTAACAACCAGAAAGAAAAACAATGGCATGGGTAACACAATACAGGGAGATGGTCGTCTTTAGTGAGGGAAGAAAGGATTCAATCTGGGCTATTCTGTGTATGTTCTATTTCTTACCCTGATTTGGGGGGGGGGGGGGGTATAGGGGGTTGGTTTTCTTTTTATTCTTCAAATTTACAGTTGCAAACATTTTTATACATGTTATATATCTTAAAAATTTAACATTTATTTATTGAGAGAGACAGAGCGCGAGCAGGAGAGGGGCAGAGGGAGAGGGAGACACCGAATCCGAAGCAGGCTCTAGGCTCGGAGCTGTCAGCACAGAGCCCGATGCGGGGCTCGAACCCACGAACACCGAGATCATGACCTGAGCCCAGTCCCGGATATGTTAGTTATCTTAAGAAATGATGTAAATATGTTACATTAACACCCAAAATAACTGTTAAGAAGGTGAGGAAACAAAGACTGAGGGCACAGGCGACGGGTATCAGAATGGCAAAACGAAAGCAGGGCTCAGAAACTGTCCAAGTAAGCGAGAACACAGGAGCCTACAATGAAATCAGGACCGCTTCACCTACACTCTCCAATCTAAAGACGTCCTAAAGGCAAAATCTTTTCAGGTTGGAACCCTGACCTGACCTACGGTGAGGCTCTTTACGCCGGTTCTGTACCTCCTTTGACGTCATTACGCACATATCTCGCTATGAAAATATTAGTGTATTTCATTACAAGGGGCTGCCCCAGACCCCCTTTCAAGGTGTGACCTAACAACGAATATAGGCATCATATGCCTTTCGAAAATGGGAGAAATTCGGGGTTCTTTAAAACACGAAGCGGTGGCCTTGTACAAAGTAAAGATTTCTAGGACAAGCCCAGAGAGCGGCGAGATAACGGAGGGCCGTCCAACGAAGGCCATATTTTCCGTATTCAGTTCAAACAGAATTCTGTATTTTGCTTGTTTCCCCACCTACTATTAGGAGTAAACACGCTTTTTCCACCTAGTACTACGATTTAACAGTGTCTGTGTGTCGGGGGCCCTAGTTTCCAGTCTACTTTGCCTTCCAGCCCCTCTCCGGGCCTCAGTTTCCTCATCAGGAAGTGAGGAGCCCCAAGCCCCCGGGCCCCCAGCGCCACACTCCGGTACGGACACGGGCCGACCCCGGGGCCTGACCCCCACCTTCCGTCCTCCGTCGCCTCTCTGCACGGCCCTCTTCCATCCCTGGCAGCCTCGCGGGCCCTCGCCTGGATTACCCACCGCGACACCCCGGCGCTGCCCCCAAAGCCGGCCGCCAAGGCAGAAAGGCGGCCTCGGCTCCTCCAGCGGGGCGGGGCGAACGCGAGCGCGGCGCTCCCATTGGTGGATGTCGCCCATTCGTCCCTCCCACCTGGTGACGCACTTCCTGCTTTCCCGCCGCGCCGTTGCCATGGTGCCGAGGAGGCCCTCCCACAGATGCAGTTTTGCTCTTCTCGCCCTTCTCTCTGGGCTTTATGCGGCGGAGCTCCCGGTTGCCTCCTTGGGCCTCCAGCCCCACAGTGGCACCCAGCGACCTAGGAGTCGGAAGGGCAGGCATGCAGCGGATCCTCCCCCTAAAAGTCATGGCCCCGCCGACACAAGCCAGTACCCTGCCCCGGGCCTCAGTTTCCCCACCTGTATAACCGACACTATGGCCTCAGAGTCAGCAATGAGGGCTCTGTTGTCACACAGCTTGAGCTGGAATCCTGCCTCTGCCACTTACTAGTTGCCAGATCTTGGGCAAGTCACTGAGCTGCACTGAGCCTCGGTTTCTTCTTCTGTTAAATGGGGATGATAATAGTCCCCATGAAATAGTGCGTTCACGAGGTTTTGAAAGAAATCACGCACACTGAAAGTGCCGATTAAATGTTAGCTACTGTCTTAACTAGGAATTTGTTGGGAGAAGCAAATGAAGTTATTAAGAGAAGTGAGCGAACTCTGCCAGGCGAGTGCACTCATTTTACAAACGCTTGCGTCCCAGCTCCCGGGCTGCAGTCTAGCAGGGAAGCAGGTAACTAATTACAGAACAGCAGAGAGTGCAAGCTGCTATCTCTGTGATGAGAGCTTCAAATCCCTACTGACCGGTTACCACTCCTGTGACCGTGGACAATTTCTCAACCTCTCTGGACCTCAGTTTCCCTGTCTGCCAAGTGAGGAAAGCAGTAGCGTGTACTAGTTAAGAGCTTGATTGGAGTAGGGGGCGGCGGACGCCTGGGCGGCTCAGGCAGTTCAGCATCAGTCTCTTGATTTCCACTCAGGTCATGATATCATCATTGTGAGATCAAGCCCCATCCATATTAGGCTCTGCAATAACAGCACAGAATCTGATTGGATTCTTTCTCTCTCCCTCTCTCTCTGCCCTCCTCCTCCTCCTCCTTCTCCTCCTCCTCCTCCTCCTCCTCCTCCTTCTTCTTCTCTCTCTCTCTCTCTTTCAAAGTAAATAAATAAACTTAAAAAAAAAAAGAGCTTGAGCTGGAGAGCTAGACTGTCTGGAATTGGATTTTGGTTCTTCAACTCAGTATCTCTAAGACCCAGGACAAAATACGGAAGCTCTCCATTCCAGTTTGCTCATCTATAAAGCAGGGATAAGAATAGCACGTTGTTGATATAGTATTGCGAAGAGAGGAATGAATATGTGGACCACAGTATCTGGTGCCTACTAAGGCCTCAGTGTGAGTTATCTTTACTAATAAAATACTTTATAAAATGCCTTAGGGGCAGCCAAAGAAGAGAACAGCTGTAAGGAGACCATCTATATTTTGTTTACCCTGCATAGTTTTGTAAAATTTTGAATTCATTACCAATGTTTAAAGCGGAAACATTTCACATAAAACCCTAGGGTATCTGACCGCTCTTAAAAAACGAGCGCAATGTGGCGACAATAGGTGGGCATTGCCCTACCGCAGCCATTGTTTGAAGCTTGGTAGAGACTATGCCCCTTAGTGATAACACATGTGCTTTCCTGGGGGGTAAAGAAATAAAAACAGAGACCCATGGACAGAAAACACTGGGAACACTGACACTTTAGGATCAAAGGGGCAAGAAAGGAGGTAGAAGGAGAAGAAAGGAATTCAAGACCAAGTGGTATCAGAGGCAGACAGGTGGTAGAGAGTATTGAGTGGCAGGGTGTGGTCTCAGTTGTCAGTGCTCTGGAGAGATCAAGAAAGATGTGCCCCTAGGGCACCAGGGTAGCTCAGTTGGTTAAGCATCTGACTTTGACTCGGGTCATGGTCTCGTGGATTGTGAGTTTGAGCCCCCATTGGGCTCTCTGCTGTCAGTGTGGAGCCAGCTTCAGATCCTCTCTGCCCCTCCCTTGCTCATTCTCTCTCTCTCTCTCTCTCTCTCTCTCTCTCTCTCTCTCTCACACACACACACACACACACACACACCATTTTTAAAAAGGGGAAGAAGGGGCACCCGGGTGGCTTAGTCAGTTAAGCGTCCGACTTTCGCTCAGGTCATGATCTCGCGGTTCGTGGGTTCGAGCCCCGCGTCGGGCTCTGTGCTGACTGCCAGCTCAGAGCCTGGAGCGTGNCCGACTTTCGCTCAGGTCATGATCTCGCGGTTCGTGGGTTCGAGCCCCGCGTCGGGCTCTGTGCTGACTGCCAGCTCAGAGCCTGGAGCGTGTTTCAGAGTCTGTGACTCTCTCTCTCTCTGACCCTCCCCTGCTCACACTGTCTCTCTCTCTCTCTCTTTGCTAAAAATAAATAAAACATTAAAAAAATAAAAATAAATAAAAAGGGGAAGAAGAAAGACGTGGCACCCATTTAGAAGGTGATGGTCAATAAAAGCCCATAGAACCAGGAAGAAACTGGATTGGCCTCCAAGACAAGCGAGGGCACGAAAGCTGAAGAAGGGGACAAGGGGATGCTGACTACTTCTAGAAAGCATGGCTTGGGAAGGGGAGACATGAAGAGGAGCAGAGGGAGTAACCAACAGAATAAAAAACAGGAGACGGGAGAGGATGGGGTCAAGGGCGTATGATGATAGGTTTTTCTTTTACCCTAGAAAGGAAGAGTGGCATTTCTGAAACAGGAGGAAAAGAGGTAAGAATGGTTAGATAAAGAGAGGTTCCCCCTTGATGTTTCTTATTTTCTCCACGAAGTAGCAAACCATCATTCTGCTAAACAGAGGAGCTGGGAGAAGCTTGGGGATTTGAGGGGAATCAAAGGTTTGGAACAGATGCCAAAGGGAAAGCAAAAGTGGGGTCCCAGCTAAGGTTGAAACCATTATAAATGCGTCAGGAGGCTCATCACTCCTGACCCCCGTCTATCTCCCGTCCCCCTGCCCGGGGCCCCAGGGCAGAAACTCTGTGTAGACTCATCATGGGGTAGGTTTTGGTGGGACAAATACAGGTGACCCTAGAAGTCAAAGCCATTGGAGAGTGTCGGTGGGAGGGTCTTTGAAGTCCTCCCCCTTTGTATGGGAGGGAAACATAGAAAGAGAAGGCGCTGAGAAATCAACATGGAGGGATACAGCAGCCGGAGGTCTCAGTGAGGTGGATTGGGTCCACTAGAAGCAAGTAGTAAGGACTGGAGTTCCAGAAGAGTGAGTGACCCACCATCAGGCGACCATCCTGTCTCAGCATGACTCCACCCTCGGAAGCTAGCTCAGTGTGCATCTGTTAGGACCTTCGCTGCACCAGACATTGGGCTGTTTGCTACAGGACAACTCTACCAGCTCGAATACTCTTCTGAAAGTTGCCCCTGAAAGGTCCAGGGGCTACGCGGACATAAATTCCTTGTACAGAAGGCAGGTAGCCAAGAAACCTGGCTAGAGGGGAAGCTTTGGGCCAAATCCTAGGCTAAGAGGGTCGGTCTTTTACCTGTAGACCACAAAAGCGATCGGGGAGGAAGTGATGAGAAGGTTTGTATTTTAGAAAAAGAACATCAGCACATCTGTTCTTTTCAAACATACTTGGAACATTTACAGAAATTGACTGTATACTGGCCACAAAGGAAGCCTCGATAAATTCCAAAGAATCTATAGACCACATTTGCAAACCACAATGAAGTAAAATGAAGAATCAACAGAAAGACAGCCAGAAAGAAACCCATACCACTTACAGACCTTAAATTACTTACTGAAATGGCCTCTGAGGAGAGGGCGCTGAAGACCAGATGATCTATTTTTTTTTAACATGTACATCTGTTACTTATGAAAAAGAAAATTGAACATGATAAGCATTAAGCTCAGTGATCGTTATATTAGTTTTCATACCTTGGTGTATGTTGAAAGATTTTATAAAAATTTTAAGAGAAAAAGAACATACATTTGGAAACTGAAAAATACATTCGTATTAAAAAGAAAACCAATATGGAAATTACAAAATATTTAGAAATGAATGACAAAAAGAAGCCTCGCATAATGAAACTTGTGAGATCCAACTAAAATAACAGTTATAGGGGGGTTTATAGCTTTAAGTGTACTTAGGATAAAACAAGAAAAAATTTAAGTATTGCATTTGAGAGGTAGGTAAGTAACAACCAGATAACCCAGAGAGAGCAGAAAAAAAAGGAAATCACAATAAAGCAAAGGCCAACTTGAATAAAACAAAAAAGAAAATAAAATTGATTATAGAAACCAAATTTATGAAAAAAAAAAAAAAGGAGGGGTGGCATCTGGGTGGCTCAGTCAGTTAACCATCCAACTTCGGCTCAGGTCATGATCTCACGGTTCGTGGGTTCGAGCCCTACGTAAGGCTCTGTGCTGACAGCTCAGAGCCTGGAGCCTGCTTCAGATTCTGTATCTCCCTATCTCTCCGCCCCTCCCCTGTTCTGTCTGTCTGTCTGTCTGTTTCTCTCTCTCTCTCTCTCAAAAATAAACATTAAAAAATTTTTTAAAAAGATCTATCAAAAAAATAATATTATACATGGCAAAAGATACATACCAGATAGAGTATAAAAATTTTAGAAAGCATAAGAATATACTACGGACAAATTTCTGCAGGTATATTTGAAAATCTAGATTAAAGGGGGAATTTTTGACAAAAATACAAATTACAAAACTTGACCCCAGAAGAGAACTAGGCCAATAATCATCACTGAAGCTGAAAAGCAGTGGATCTGCCCCAATTTCTAAAACGCCCAGGCTGAGACAGTTTAACTAGAGTGATACACTCTACAAACGCAAAATACAAGACAAACTATATTATGCAAATGGCACCAGAATAGGAACAAGACAGAGACGTCTATCCAAGAATTCTATGAGGCTAAATCGAATCTAGATACCAAAACAAGAACAACAGCATTAAGGAAAATGTCAGGTCCAATGTATATTATAAGCAACGATGCAAAGACCGAGTCTC